TGGTTCTATTAACGTACGCATTCTACGTCAGATCAACCAGCAGGCAGCACTGACTCACTCTTCACTCTCTTGGTATTGATGTGTGCTGTGTCCGAAACACGCACACAAGATAACAGCGTTGTGACAAATCTGATGACGATGGCTACACTCTTCGCGCCTCTGGCGATACTGAGTCAGTGGCTCAAGGGGTTTACGGTTTTGGTATCACCCTCAGCAAATATGCTGAAAGCAATCTGCTCGATTGGACACCGGTGAACAGCCGCAAGTGTGCGGTTCGACTTCGAGTTAACAAGCAGCGTTCCAAGTTACCTTTTCATCGTCTCAGTTTATGCCTCTACTGAATGCAGTTCAGGGGGTAAAAAGAAGACGATTTCTATCAACAGCTCTCATATCTTCTTCGCATGACGGTGAATACTGCGTGATTGTTGCTGGTGACATGAATGCCCAAGTAGGTCCCCTTTCAGACTATGAACAACACTTAAGAGGGTGCTTCGGAGTCGACGCACACCGAACAGACAATTGTGATTGATTCCTGCAACTATGCGCCGATCACAACCCTTACCATAACATCACTGTTTTCCAGCATAAACGTTTACATCGCATCACCTGGCACCTACGGAATTCTTTAATGACCTGGACCCCAATTGACCACCTTGCCATCAGCTACAGATAACGCACATCAATCCAAATCTGTCAATCAATTTGGAGCATGTGCCTGGATTCAGACAATGTTCTAGTGCGCGCACCCACAGTGTTCACTCTTCCCGCTTCAAAGAAGCGCTTGCCTCCTAACTTTACCTGTAACTTGAACTCGTAATCTGCAGTTCAACAATATCATGACGAACTGATCCAACAATTGTCACTGATGAATGAGATTGGTGAACCGAACGTTGACTGAGATCGTCTCAAATGTGCCATGGAGAATGCCTTTGACGCATGCTGTGCACCCAACTTAAGATGTCGTAACTGCGAATAGCTCTTTCAGGTATTGATTAGTTTCGTCGAAGCACAGAAACAGGTTCCAATGGGCGCTGTTTCAGTCTGCCCGTATATCCCTGAAACGACGTCTTCCAAGGAGTCTTCGAATCGACCGAGAACGTTGGTGGGTTGCAAAGGCCCGTCGAGTGCTATTCCGGCGGTGGCTGGACCGTAGTCCGCTCCACACTGAGTGCATGGAACCGCTCTTCGAGCCTAGCACGGCCACAAGGACCGTGCACCCCGTCCCCTCCAGCAACGACCAACTGTCTCCTGGAGCCAGTATGAACGAGGTAGTGGGTAATAGACAGGTAGGCACCTTGTCAACATGCACATCAAGCGCAGCCACACCGGGGATATCAAGCAACAGCCATTCACTGTAAACGACAGGCTGAAACAAAATAAATCCAATAATGCATACAGATACGGTGGCATAACTCTTCCCTAAATTACCATTTGAAGTAAGTTGGTTAGCAACGAATCCGTGATAAGTAAGAAATGTCCACAAGTTAATTAAAAATGCTACAAACGCAAAAAAATTACCGAAGATAAGCGCAATTAGCGTAAGCAACGTGGCCAGTTAATAGAACATTATTCAGGTAGGCAGAACAAACCAAATAAAGTGGAATGAAATTTATCCAGCCTAAAGAAACATAGTTTGAGTCTAAGTTGGTTTAGCCCAACTGCGGTGAAGAAGCATCAAGAATGCAACATCGCCTCAGCATGGGGCACTATATATATATATATATATATATATATATATATATATATATATATATATATATATATATATATATATATATATGTATAATCTGAGAATTACGCATTCAGCGTTCATTGTTTCAGCACCCCAAATAACTCAAATATTTTAAGCCATATGTTGATAGGGATTACGCACAGGCTCTAAGAGTTTCGTCAACCTTCGAGCAGCCATGTGGTAGAAGGATTTATTTATTCATTTAATCAGACCCAGCAGATTGCCTGCCTTGTGCAACCTGGGTGCGCCCCTCACCTTTGGTTTATCCGTGCCTGTCGGTTTCAGTTACCGGTATTTGAAACTTGCCACCGTCTCCGAGAGTAGTTTCCTTTATTTTCTCTTGTTTGTCGCACTGCACCAAAATGGCAGACGTAATTCTCAACTAACTCGTATGCAGGATGGTGGTGTTAAAGCACCTGTGAAGGAGAAAAATGTGATATCCATTGATGGGGGATAGATCAACCTAGCTTTCACCGACTCGTTTTTTAACCAGGATAAGTGGGCCATCGCTGCATAACGCAGATAGACGACGAAGGCAATTGAGATCAGACTGATACGACGCTGATTTTCAGAGGATATTCTCTAGAATTAAAAGATAACTGACTGACAGAGGGCTCCTTGTCGAGCTGAGCAGTAAGAGCGGTTACTAGTGAGCTGCCATCGTCCTTCAGGAATGGAAGCCGTCAGAGCCAGCACCTTGTGCATCAGCAGCACTAAATACTGTCGGATTTTTTAAATGGGATATGTCAATTTAACTTTCCGAGTGAGATCAAGCGATCGAATTGGGAATACGGATACACCCGGCCGCATGAATTGTTTCTGAAGCGCTCGGCCCAAGGTTGGGCACTTAACGCAAATTGTTTCATTCACGGCAGTCGATCTTGAACTTTTGCGCCTCCGCTATTCACATACGCTCTGAAACTGTAATTCTGATGACGTTCCTGAGTTTCACGGAAACCAGACACACCGATAAAGACGCCTTCGTACTCGGTTATGCCAAATGAATCCACAGAATTTTACTATTCAAACGCAACAAACTAGGACATACAGCTACCAGTGATTTTATCAACTGCGCATTAGAGGCCAAACCAGTTCGAACTCGATCTTCCATCATCATTTGTCAGTGACAACTGGCGCTACGATCGATCACCATTGACAATGCGGTTAGCCTCAACTTCGAAACTGCCCCGAGAAGATCTTCTGACTGACAGGTGAACGCCATGGTAGTACCAATTACGATACCCGTACCATTGGTCATTCCAATTAGAGAGCTTTTGATGGAATTTGATATAACTCTAAAGTTGAATGATACACACGCAGCTAGTCCGTCGGATCCACTCTAGGACAGCGGCCTCCACTCATCTGCTGGGATCAACTCCAATAACGTTGATGCTACAAGTTGTCGACTCAGCATCCAAAGAGAAGCGAATTGTGTAAGCCCCGCCCTAAAAACCCAAGATTAGTAAGCACAAATGAACTGGGACGCTATTATTGGATATACGTGCACGTCAAATGAGATGGAGTGTAAAGTCGTAGTGTCGGCCGGTGACCGAGTTGTCTGCGCGCCTGACTTGCAACCATAAAGTCACCGGTTCGAATCCGCGTAGGTTGGGCGTCCTCGCGGGATACTCAGTCCGCGCACGACTGATGGTGGTCGCGTGGCAGCGAAACCCCGTTATGGCGTATGGCTGACTACTATCTATTTGTAAAGTCGTAGTGAGTGTCGTCTGTTGAACGGTTTAACAAAATATGCGAAATTTGAAAGACATCATGCTGAACGGTGCTCTAGGTCTGAAAGATGATCAGCTATCCTGCTAGTGCGTCTGATAAAGCGATAAACAGCCTCTTACTGATAAGCACGAGAACACTCTTGAAAACTAAATAAAACAGAAGAGGTGAAAATATTGCTAGCGACGGTATCTCGTAAGTGATATTCTCCATGTGCCCACTCCAAGACCTTTGACTCAACAGCCTGATTCATAAGGTGGGGAATACTTCTAGCTCAAAAGTGTGACTGCAGAGTCCCATACGTCACTGCGTGAGACTGGCCATACTGTTTTCATGGGATTCAGTACCGATTGTGCTAAGTTTACGATCTGTAACTGCTGCCTCACATGACTGGGTTTTGAAGAGAGGCATGGTTATGTAATCTGAATAGAAGAGAATGCTGGGGAACATCTTGCTCGATCACTGACCATCAACCTGCCTGATATGAGTGACTTTGAAGGCACTTGTAAAGTGTCAACTAGCGTAGCTTAATGAATTGGAAGATGAAAAAACCAAGGCACCACGTTATCTTCCGGTGTCGTCGCGATGTCTAACACTAGCTATCCCATCAGCTTTGGATTGAGACATTCTGACCACGGTGGAGCTGGTGCCGTCGTAATTGCGACTTCATGCATCAACAAATAGGAAAACCACAAACTCTGGCCATAGGTATCATACACTTTATTCGCAACAACATGTATTGCAATGGCTGTTCAGACCTCATCGCTTTTGCGATCAGTTGCTTCTGTTCGCAACATCAAAGCAACAAAGCCGTTGGCTCGCTCGCCACTTCAGTGCCAATTTGGCCTGCAACGCTGCTGATAGGTTGCATGAGTAGGGCCGACGGTGTGCGTTGGCGCTTGCGTGCACCCACGCGCATATTGCACACAGGTGGTTAGTGTCAGAGAAGCGATAATACTTCAGGTATGCTCCTGCAAACTTCTTTTTTATACCTATTCCCTGATGCTTGTTTCAACATGTCAATTTGTTAGCTCCATCGGCTGTTTCTGGGTGCGGATCACACTTCCGCTATGACGTCAACATTGTCACTTTTATTTCCTTGTGCGTATCTGGTTGGTTCCTTATTTGTTCTGTCCTTACTGATTTTGCTTAATCGCACGCTAACAGTGCTCGGGCTGATTTTTACAGGTACGCGTGAAGCTATGCAAAGAAAGCCGTTTTACTGGCAAAAGAACCATAAATCCTGTTACTGTTCGTTCGCGTTCACACTATTGTGACTTGAGGGCGTGGTTTTTAGCGGTGGAACATGCTAATTTGTTTGTGATGACCATAACATAATCTAAGACGGGAAATTAACGCCGACTGCATCAGAAAATGCAGCGACTGTTGTTAACATCAGAGACAAGAGGTGACGATGCATTGTGCAAGCGCTTTAACTTCTACCCCCGGTGGATCATGTATATCTAGCGAATGAAAATTAAAGGTGGGCGTCCGCCAGTACACATTTTATGGAAAATTGTGGTGATATGTAAACACTTACCACTTTCTTCAGGACAAGGAAACTGTATGGATGTTCGGATTTCGTAAGGTAGGCTACTGGCTATCAAACTGCCCACCGTTAAAATGAGGCGAATAATCACGGGTGCCAAATTTGGGAAAGTGCTGCCAACGCGGAGGAACGCGGGCAAACAGGCGTGAAGCAGATCAGGGCGGTCGTCCGCCGGAACTACGGCTGCGGGGCGAGCAAACATAAGAGCAATAGGCTAATTATCATGGTGGAAGAGGAAACATCGAAAAGTTTATTTGCAAGGACGTTGTTAGTGTCTTCTTTAATAATCTCAGATCAACAGAATTTCAAAATGGATATACTGCTTGGTAGAGAACTGAGAGTACCAGTGGATGTCAGTGTTGACTGCCTCGTTTCACCGGTCACCTACTTCACAAATAGGTTTGCCGTCAGCCTAGGATCCAGAAGGGTAACTTGGGTGTGCGTATTTCATTTGTACATTTGAGTAGTCGAGTTTCAGTCACGTATGGTGCTACTTTAGTACAAGAACAGCTTTCTGGTTACGTGAAGCACACCGCCCACGGTGTTAAAATTGTACCGATGAAGCATAATGTAAAATACTGAATACATTGCCACGATACATCTCATGTGAACACATACACAACGCCAGTATAATGAGGCCGATGAGCTTATCCGTCCTGACGGACAAAGGTGAACAATAGAGAAATCAGACACATCTTACGGGCACTAGCTGTGAATGAAAAGGACTAGGTTCTATTGGCAAAAGAAATCTTCCCCCGAATAAACTAAACAATGCCACGGAAACAAGTGAGTATGAGATGATCAGATTCTGCACACATGTGACTTTAATGCGCCAAGAACGAACAGGCAGGATTGAATGAATGTCAGACCCAACGATCGGGAAGAGAACGTGATAGGAAAATCTACGGCGATAGCCCTTTAATCTCAGGGGAGTCAGTAACGTAAAGGAAAATGATACTTAGTAAACTTACACGCTACATATCACTGCACTGAGGATGCCACCTCGGATGGTGGTGAAACGTTTGCGAGAAAACCGCCAAGCTCGGAGAACAAATGAACAATTAATTTAGTAAACTTACACGCTACATATCACTGCACTGAGGGTGCCACCTCGGATGGTGGTGAAACGTTTGCGAGAAAACCGCCAAGCTCGGAGAACAAATGAACAGTTGATGATACTTGTGTAAAAACCTGATGTCAGATAGGTTAGCTCTACCCAAATAGCGAGAAGACGAGCCGGGCGCAGTTAGTTCAACAACTCCGTGAGGGTCATTGGTCCTAGTTTCTGATACGCAACACACGTCAATACCCCGCATGTCTAACGTGCGTGCGAGTGCAGCCTGTTGGCCTATATGTGTGGAAGTGCTAATGTTGAACACCACCAGGGAAACGGGACAGCGTGGTCTTGTAAAGGATGGTTGTCGATATGCGTCCAGTGGGTGTTACGGGAAGATAGCTGCAGATGGTTCGACTCCAGTGGCATTACGGCTACTGTCAATTAAGTTGGGAATTATAGAAAGAAGGTTAGTAATGGGGGTTGCTTTGTACTAAATTACTCCAATGATGACTGGAGTGAATCAGTCTCATTAAATCCCTAATAACTATCAATACGACTTGGAGCTGAAAAGCCATTTGCTTAAAACGAGAACTATCGCCGCACTGGAAGAGGGAGGGAAGCGGATATTTTAGTTGCGGCAGTTTTGGATAACTAATAGTTGTCCGAAATACATTTTGAGAGTTTCATGAATAAACCAGCGTACAGTTTGCTGGTCAACCCAATGTAATGTTTATTAGATGATCGAAAGCCAAATCAAGTTAAGACTGTCAATATGGGAAAAATTTAGACTATCGAGTGAATGGATTTGTCATAGCAGATTCTCGGGCGCACACTTAGGATCAACGGAATGCTTCGCTTTGGGACCTACAGTTTTGTATATCATGTCCCATAGCAATTAGACAAATCATGAATATACGAAGACGATCACGTGAAACCACCTTTGGGGCGCTAAAAATAAAAACGAGATGAAAAGATCAAATTTTGATATTTCACCAATGCAAGTGAAAGCAAGGCACTAGAAGATACTGGGACAACTAAGCCATACTTATCTCTTGCAATGAGTTAAAGGGATATTGGAATGTTATCAGGGTGCATATCATGCCACGCGGACTTTCTGGCTAACTGACAAAGTACCGTTAGCGATGAGCGATTGAGTACCGCTAACCGAACAAATTTTGCGGCACAGTAGCTGAGGTGTTTCCTACCTCTAGCTAACTTGTATGCTGATGATGAACTGAACAAATCAGCTTTCAGTACTCTAGCAGAAATTTACATTGCCTCGTCGCATAATTTAAGCTGGCATAACAATGAACCAAACAATTATGTGTAATATATATATATATATATATATATATATATATATTTATGTTGGCAACATCCGGTTATGGGTTTGCCTGTCACTGTGGCCAGCCACAGCACGCCTGCGCTTACAGAGGGACCATTGGTGACTTGCGCTGCACCACCCACAGCTCCAACTACACACCCCATATCCAGTTTAAACCCGAAAGAATAAGACCAGGAGGCATGTGGATGGGAACTACGTTTCATCAACGGAGCAGGCTAACATTTCTTCACATGTAAACACAATCACGCTGTATTTGGGAATCGCACACAAGGCGGTGGCTGGACCGTGGTCCGCTCCACCCTGAGTGTATGGAACCACACTTCGAGCCTAACACGGCCACAAGGACCGTGCATCCCTTCCCCTCCAGCAACGACCAACTGTCTCCTGGAGCGAGTATGGACGAGGTAGTGGGTAATAGATAGATAGGCACCTTGTCAACGTGCACAGCAAGCGCAGCCACACCGCGGATATCAAGCAACAGCCAATGTCTTAAAATGATATTATCAAATAAAGTATATCTGTTAAAGCATACGCCTATGGCGACATAACTCTTCGCTAAATTAGCATATGAAGTAAGTTGGTTAGCAATGAATCCGCTATAACTATAAAATGTCTACAAGTTATACAAAAAACGCCACAAACGCGACAGTTAACGAAGATAACTAGAATTAGCATAAGCAATGAGGGCAAGTTAATAGAAAATTATTTCGGTACGCAGAACAGACCAAATAAGGTGGAATAAAATTTATCCAGCAAAAATACCAAGTTTAAGTGTAAGTTGGTTTAGCCCAACTGCAGTGAAGAAGCATCATGAATGCAAAACCAGCGTCAGTATGGGGCTATATATATATATATATATATATATATATATATATATATATATATATATATATATATATATATATATATATATATATATATATATATATATCGCCGTCTCTTTCAGGTTACACCGGAAGTGCATTCTGCAGTGGTGCTGCGAATCAGTATTCTTGATGACGTCTCGGAAACCACCTCCCGGTTCTACTACCTCAGGAGTATGATGTCGGCTGACTGGCAGCTACACCTTGAGCTTCGTATGCGCGTATCGAAGGCAACGGCGGCATTCGGAAAGCTGGAGTACCGCGTGTGGAACAATCACTAGCTTACCGTCGGCAAGAAGCTGGTAGTGCACAAATCCATGGTGCTGTCCGTTCTTCTATACGGCAGCGAAACGTGAACGATGTACCGACGAGACGTGAGATATCTCGAGCGGTTTTATCAACAGTCTGCGACGGATTCTGCGCATCGGTTGGTGCGACACAGTTGCAGACACGGTGTTGCACCGAGGTGGAATGTATGCAGTGTACTGCATACTGTTACTGAGACATCTTAAGTGGTTCGGTCATAGCGACCTATGGATTCCACGCGGATACCGAAGCAATTTGTATATAGGTAGCTGTGTGAGGAAGCGGCATGTGGGGAAACCGAAGTTTCGTTACCAGGACATGATCTGCCTATCACGCCTACCACGCCTATCAGGTTCTACTTTTGATTGCTGGTCATAGGAATCGAAGGCGGTTGATCAGCGTGCATGGCGAGGTCTGATCACGAAGGCCGTTGCCGAGGCGGAAGAGAAATCCCTCGTGTATACAGAGAAGAAGCAGCAATTGCGGAAACGACGGGCGGCGATGGATTGTACTCCATCGGCATCGAGCGCATGGTGCTGTAGCACAAGCCATCGCGAGTGCCTGAGTCAGGCAGGCCAAGTGAACCACGAGCGAGGCCATTCGGAACCAGCATGGAAAAGAGGATGGGTCTTGTTAAGGAGGTGAGCAGAACCGGCGCAGCATTGGTAGATATGCTGCATTCCATTTACTAACCGCGTGCTTGCAAGCTGAGTCTCTAGTTCAGGTGGTGGGTTTGCTTTCGTGTCTTAATGCATATATTTTTTGCCTCATCTTAACGTTATCTTCCAATAACTTGCACACGTCGATTAAGTTAATTGTGGTTAAGTTCGCTAATACTTTCGCGTCTGTGGCATTAAAAAAATATTTTCTGACATCGTGCACTTATCGTGGATTTATTGATAACCATATTATTACCTATGCTCAATTAACGTAGATCTTTGTCAGCATTTCCGTATACTTTATTCGATATACATTATTTGTTATTCTCATTTCAAGTGATTGATTGTTGTTTGACATCCCCTGTGTGGCTGCGCTTGATGTCCATACTGGCTCCAGGAGACAGTTGATCGTTGCTGGAGGGGACGAAGTGCACGGTCCTTGTGGCCGTGCTGTGCTCGAAGAGCGGTTCCATGCACTCCGTGTGGAGCGGACTACGGTCCAGCCACCGCCTTGTGTGCGCTTGATTTCCCAAGTACAGCGTGCTTGTGTTTGCCTGTGAAGGATTGTGGGCCGACTCTGTTGATGAAACGTGGCTCCCATCCACATGCCTCCCGGTCTTATTTCTTCGGGTTTACACTGGATATGGGGTGTGTGGATGGAGCTGTGGGTGGTGCAGCGCTAGCCACCCATGGTCTCTCTGTAGGCTCGGGCGTTCTGTGGCTGACCACAGTGACAGGCAAATCCGAAGCCGGATGCCGCCAACCATATATATATATATATATATATATATATATATATATATTGCCATGGAATACTGAAACAATGCATTATTCATGAATTAATCATTTATTTCTTTATCGCAGTTAACACGCCTTAAAAGTATTAAGCACTCATACACAACAAAACCACCAGTCACCGCCAATAAAAAGGCTCCTACGGGGGAGACCACATCCGTTGTTATTATGTGGACTGGCAGTAGCGGAAAAGCCATGAGTGTTTTGGTTAGCATGCCCGCTTCACATGCGGGTATCACATAAGCTGTAAAGGCAGTCTTAACTTCTCTGATTCAAAGAGATGAGATCAGGGAGGAGAAAGCGATCACCCAGCGCTTCAGAGGGTGTTGGTAGGTAATGTCACGGAAATATGACTGCTCAAGCAAGATGGCGTGACGGTCTAGAAATAATCTGTAACCAGTGACATCATCATCATCGATCTAAAGGTTAAGTGAAGTAACGCTTCAGCTACTGTGCCACAAGACAATCTAAGAATATGGCAGTAAAATATGTGTGAAAAACACCAGTGGTCGAACGCAACATGCCCGTTTTAATCTGCCGATCTGACGGGCCAAGTTTCGTAGCCGTGGAGGAGGACTGAAAGAACGGCGGATGGATGGGACTAAACCTTCCGATGGATACAGATCCCATAGCTTCGTCAACGACGAATTTGGAAGCAAAAGGTGATAGCTGGCATTCGTGTATCACACACCGCAGGAGATACTGAAGGTGACCTGTCACTATGCCCGAACTACTCATGCAGTCCCAAAATCGATCCGCAGAATCGAAGGTAACTTTGATGTCGAGCAACATGACCATATTGGGTCGCCAATGCACGCTGTGGTGCGCTAATAACTAAATTAAAGTGATGTGGTCAATGCATCACCGATATTGACGGAAACCGGCCTGCTTTTCAGGAATTTGGATTTCACAGGCGCCAGTCAATCTTTGAAGATGACAGAAGCAAGTAATTTGGAGGCGATGTAGATCAGATTGGCATCTATGAGGTTACCGCATTTGGAATGTGAGCTCTCTTAAGAACCGGGGCGATAAAGGAGCAGTTACGATCAGCAGGGACAATTTCATTGTCAAATGGTGAAGATCATCCACAAAACCAAGCCCTCCGAAACCGAGGAAAACTGGGGTAATCCATCTGATCTCACAGCCTTATGTAATTTAACTGTCCGATCTCACGTTTGACTTTGCACGAGAGGGCAGGTTCGATGGGACGTCCCAGTGAGCAATGTGATCTCTGGCCTGACAAGGAAGTCGGTAACTCTGGTAGTTTAAATTGCTCGGTTTAACGCTCTAATAGTTTTCACAGGTCGTAGATAGAATGCACACTCTTGCTAAACATAGTTTCACAAACATCAGGTCTCCTACTGCACATTTCCTATATCAAACGGAATAAGTTCCGATGGCGGTTTCCATCTCCAACGAACGATGTGACCACTAGGCTTCGCGGTCTTTCTTCTGGCTAGAACGCAGTTTTGCTCTGAGATTTTTGTGAGTTTCGTTGTATTTGGTTCCAGCCGGAATGCATCGGCAAGCGTACAGAAGTCCCGGAGACCATGTAGAGGCCGTGTTCAGGTGGACAATTAGATTTACGACATGAAGAGACACTTGCGGTTAATCACGTATGGCGGACACGTTACTAGTGACAATCGACTGTCTTCAGTGAGCACTGAAGTCGCTTAACTTGTGGGCAAATGTCTATGCGCTCAGAGCGTCGTCCAGGCGTCCGGCAAAGCGCATCCACAGGCGGGCACATAAAGTGTATGGTCGGGGTGCAAGCTTGTGCTCTAAATCGAGCGACAATTTTGGGCGAAACCTCTCCAACGATAACTGGTTGCGATGTGATTAGTTTGCGTCCATTGCTGGTCAGAGACTGTTGGGTGTTATACCACCTTCCAGCGGTGTCTGTGTCGGAAATTAGCGTTCGCGTGATAGAGACGTGCAAACTCACATAGTTGTAACAAATGTACACCGTTATGAGTACGGGAGCCTACACAGTGTTGCTCACCCATAAGCTAATCATTATCCGACTAAAATAATTGTATCAGCGAGAATCCGGGCTTCCAAATAGAAGCAGGTAGACTGCGGTTTCCCGCTTGGTTGGACATGGACTTGTCGATAGGGCGGAAGTGACGTTCTGAGATTGCGTATGAACCCAACCTAGAGGAAAATTGCATGCCGAAACAAGATGAGGACGACCAAGGAGTGGAGGATTGAAAGGGGCGCCGTCGATTATCCTCTGCGACAGACAGATATTGTGTGAAGAGGAGTACAGGTTGCCAGACCTAAACAGGAGAACAACTAGTGCTCCTAATCAGAATCTGACCGGAACGCAGCGGCAGCTTGGTGTGAGCTATAAAGGTCCGTTTTAAGGAATAGAGAGGCACCCTCAATTTAACCGCCAACTTGGAGCACTGGGAAACTGAGTCTGTTTGGTCTCTAACCAACGGCCAATTCATCACAACTTAATAAATCGTTGGAATACATAAACCAGGACACCAATTTAAGATTCAGGGATGGGTAACCAGCGGCAAAGATATCACAGTTCGAAAAGGAAAGGGGTGACAGATGTTAATTTTACAGATAATGCAGCTCAGCTTTTAATATAGTTCACAAATATCGCTGCTCGATTCTCAAAGGATTTTGCAAATAATGGTCGTTAGTATGAGAAAATCATCCTCCGAATCAACACCGATATGCTGGGCAACAGCTACAGATCAATATTCGCTCGCTTCTAGCCCAAGATTTTGATGGGTGGAAGGGCTAATTTGTGAACTTGTGTAAACAGAAACAGACAAATTAAGCCCATGGGAAAGTACAGCAAGTCGGAGTGCGGAAATAAATCAATTCTCGAATAAGACAAACCTGTCAGTAAATGATACAGCGAATCGGTCATAAATGCTGACCGTTCCAAAGCGGGCTGAATGTTGTAGTGCAGCGACAAATGTGAGACCAAATCGAGACAGAATATCTGAAAAGGATGCAGCGAGATGCATGGTGAGGAGAGAGAAACGCGTCCTAATAAATCGAATGAACTTCTCGCAAGTAATATCGGGAAAAAGCACAGTGCGGGTTCGCAAGTTTAGGAAAAATAATCACCGAGAACATTTTATAAGTTTGGACGATGTGGAAGAACAAGGTTGGGAGAAGAATGCCGATACATGCGTGCATTTCACATTCCCTTCCCGGTAGCTTTAACGGTAACCAATACAGATACATTTTCAAAATAATTTGAAACACTGGTAGCCTGAGATGGTTGTACAGCTGTTGACTGGTTCGCCGAGCTTGATTAATCAAGCTGGGAGCGAGGCCGGGAAGTTAAGCGCACAAAGCGAATGTGGGCTAAGTGGAAACGTTCTCCTGAGATTAACTGTTGACATGGTGTACATGGGCAATGAGATTTACATGAAAGAACTGTAATTCCGTTTCGCCTACTCCCTTACATTGCCAGGAAGGATGTATTTCAGATGACGACTTAGAGGACCAACGGAGATCGTCATAAGATGTCAGATCATGCGAAGTGCATACTCGTAAGTTCAGCAGCTTGGTAATATTAGTAACTAGAGTTGAGGACAGACCCATCAACAACACCTAAGTAAATGCTATCCGGACGCAAAACTAACTGTGAACAGCGAAGATGATGCCTTGAGCGTTGGAAGCAATTCTAAACACAAGGTCATGTTTCCATCAGCCACAAAGTGAACCGAAGGGACCCAAGCCTCAGTGCTTTCTATTCAATGCGGAACGAATGGAAAGTACGCACATGTTGATCTGTAGAGCTTATTTTGATTTGACTTTTTGACTCGGATTTAAGGTGCAAGGTAGGGATTAGCGAACACGCTAGTTACGGATCAGGATGACTAAGAGGCCAGACTCATTGTTGAAATCAGCACGGACAATCCTTAATCGCGCGGGAACGTTCACATTTATCGGATGCGGACTAGTAGAATGAGCATGTAATATATATATATATATATATATATATATATATATATATATATATATATATATATATATATATATATATATATATATGATCTGCGTGTATTTGCTTCGACAGTGGTCTCGGTTCGAAAGCTTAGGTACGTCTCCTGCTTGACACGAGACTCAACTGGAAGCGTACCCTATGAATTGCCATAGTTCCCTTCCAAAGAAGCGATAGCGGGAACACAGTATTGATCATCCACTGGTTACAGCAAATGCATGAGCAGATTGCACAGATGGTGACTGATGGTAACCTGGACCGTCTTGACTCATGGCGGTTTTGGTTTGACAGATGTCAGGTGATGTGATGCAAGCGTTCGTGACAACAAGGATCACTGCCCACACAGTGAATACAGCCGGAGTCGTCATAGTACGAGGGAGCAATTCCGCAACACAAGGTCCAATGACGTCACGACTTGAAAAACATTTCAGCCGGGTGTTGTTTGTCACTCGTTTTCATGGCTATTTCATTAGTCAATTTGAACGACCGGAGAAGGGATCAAAATCACCAGTAATAAGTTGGGTTAAAGTGGCCAAATAGTTTGCAAACACGACATCAAAGAATCGAGCCGGGTAGCTAGACAAATGTAACACAAGCTAAAATAAGTCCTTCAGACAGATAAGCGATAAAATTTGCAATATACGAGTTGCTTGTGTGTCGGTCATTAACAGCCACTGATGCCAATCTTTCAGCGGTTATTAACAACTGCAGTAAAGGCAGTATCACGACTAAAAGGTAGGCTTCATTCTCTAGTTGTTGTACACGACATTAAGTGGTTCATCTATACGGAACTGTAACTTACGCTACTAAGGTATCTCAATTGCAACGGATGAGAGTAAGCTGGGATAATGGGGAAGCGTCCATAATAGTTATCAATTCTAAATAAAGCTGGTGTGGTAAAGGGCTCCATTCGGAACATGCATGCCTCATTTGGCCATTTCAGAGCTCACAGAGTGCAGTGTGGAGCGCAGCCAGCTTTCACAGATATATGTGACTTCCCCCAGTGAGGAAAGACGCTATAGATAAGCAAAATGAAGTGCTCTGTGAATAGAAAGAAAGGCGTAGAATTAATGGTGTTTAAGCATACCATTTTAGAGTAGTCACCACTGAGTCGAAACACGTCCGTCACATGATCCAGACATATATGCAAGGAAGGTATTGCTTGAGCACTGACTGGGATCAAGCTGCGCGGAAAAGTCTATGTGGGAAGGAACAAAGCGTAAGGTAAAGAAATCAGATGGACAGAAATTGCTGAGTGCAGTTGCACCATGTAGAATATGGGAATGTCGTTCAAACTGAGGTGGGGGCAAAGTGTTTGGGGTGATAAGATTGAGCGAAGCAACGAGACGCAGTGTTCGTGCACTTGGCCAGCTAACGTTTGGCTATCTAGTCACAGTCGAAACCTCTGACAAGTGCTATGCCACAAAGCAGGTGAGAAAGTGGTCAAAAACCGTTGCCTCTCGATTTATATCCTATATAAATCTAACACGTTCACAAGGCATAACAGGATCTCATCTATTCGGAGAGGTACACGATGACGGCAGAGATACCGCCTCAGAGGGTAAAATGCATCTAACGTGCAACTACATTAGAGATAACAGAAAAAGAACATTGAAAATTCAATGGCCATTGGAAAGAGAAACGCATGTATGCAGGTATGCAGGAGGGCGGCGAAATCTACTGTATGGTATCTGAAGATGATCACCCAGAATGCCAATTAACTATTAAAAAAATACATCAGCAGCTATGTGGGAGGTAAATGATTTGAGGTTGCGTCCAATGAGGTATTTGCACACGTCGACAGACAAGAAAAACTGGATGAACGGTGGAAATAGGCATCCAGCAAACCAGCACGGGATTGATGGAACACCCACCTCGTCGTAATGAGGAAACTAAGAGGAGATCAAACGGCTGCACAGAGTAAAAGTGCATGTGACACAGAGGACTCCCGGAAATGAGCCGTAAAAAAGGTCAGCATGGGGATAAATTTGATAAGGCACGACGGTAATAAACATTTGGAATGAAATAAAAACGCATATCTTCCTTTCAACGGCAACTGTAAAAGATACGCTGCAAACAGAATGAAGGTGTGGCTGTAACACGTTTGTGAGAAAGGAATGCCCATGTAGTTGACAGTGCAACCCATACACAGGTGACAGTTGCAGGAGAAGTTGCACACCGTTGGGGATGAGGACAAGCGGTCGTGTCACATCCGACTCTGTTGGGGTGAAAGTACGCAAATAATGGCACACGTAAGGAAAGGAATTTACGCTAGGGTGTTGCGATATCCAGGGAATTACCAGTTGCGATATTCCTTCATCTACTTGTACAGTTGCCTATTAAATATGCGCTACAAACACAATGGCCAAGACCAACACAGGGGAGTGGTAAACGAATTCAGAACAAAGATCAAGACGTGCACCCACATGAGGGTAGCCCATAGGAAGTAAGTTTAGTCGTCAAAGAAAGGTTGGTGTTAACAGAATAATCCGCAAGTGCCTGCCGCTCAAATGCGCTATGGTGGCTACCTAGAGGGGTAAGTCAGATTGATAGATACATCTGAAGACGGATGCGTCGGTTAGTGTCAAAAGACAAAAGGGGAATCAGTCACACCGAAAGGTGTGCAGTCGAAAGTAAGAGAAGAGAGGGGTAAGGGCGCCTAACCAAGTGGTGAATCAATATTAGGGGCGGAGCTTTGGATTTTATGATTTCACTCCCTATTCAGAGGATGGTGATCCCAAGCAGGAGTTTCGGAGTGGTAACAGGCCGCCCACACAGGGTTGCAAACGACGGATGCATATTTTGGAAAAGAAATCACGGCTTTGTAACCGATTCCAAGTACAAGTTGAGTTACATTGGCCATATGGATTGGCTTCATCGTTAGCAAGATGCAAAACAGAACGCAAATAGGCACCCCTATAGAGTTCATTCACTGGTCAGTTGGCGGTATTCGAAGTAGGTTTGCTGAATGCGAATAGACGTTAGACGTACAGATGATAGACACCGGATGTGGTTGGTGACTCCTGTGAAGTAAAGTGAATGCACAGTCTTATGGAGGATGAATCTGCGTCCAGACTAGTTAACAAAAGGATATAATGAACCCTCAGTTCGATGAATACATCAATCTTGGTGAGCGTCGCCATACTGCCCGAGTTGAACAGCGGTAAAGCAGAGGTAGGTAAATTCCATGAGCAAAAATGGACAGCAGTAGAGATCGTTGACATCTACTGAGAGAATAGTAGAGGTGTTAAGTTTCTGGATGCGACACACAAGAGATATGCTCCCAAACGAATTGTGTCACCGATCATCAGGTAGGTCCAAAAAGACTATGCACAACGTTCTATTCAGTCGGTCGACAAGGTTCTCTATGCTATATTGGAATTTGATAAAATCAGTCCCATTGAAGCTTCGGTTAGGCAAGTAGAGATCAGAGTGACACAAACTTGCCAGAGAGAAGCAGGTTTACAGAGAACGTGACACAGTCGAAGCGAGTGGTGTGGGTAAAGTGTGAAATAGTCTGGCGACAAACACATATATGCGTAGATCGGTACCACTCAATGCTTTGAGGGTGCCAGTAGAAGAAAAAGACCGTCATTTGGTGTCATCAACTCGCGCCTGTATGGCAAACAGCTTTGTAACGATAAACTGATATTCCGCCGGACGCATAAATGAACAGAATTGTGATTCTGAGATACATACTGCCGTATTTCTGAAGATATGGCTGACAGAGATGACGAAACGACAGATGTGAATGAGCAAACTGGCCGGGAAAAAGAACTAACGCTGCACCCACACAGTTTTACCGAAACACTGCATTTGTTAGCGAAAAGAACGTGCGTCCGGCGCTCCACATTAGCCAAATTTGTAGTGCATACACATCAATTAATAGAATGAATCAAAGGAAAGCAGATTCTGAGTGAAGAATTTGTTACCGAAAAGAATTCTTCACTCAGAACCTGCCTTCCTTTAATGCATACACAACAGCTGACCCGGTTAGAGGAAGTTTGTCATCCGTGTACTTACCATCTGGAATGACTCTCACGCGTGAGAGTCGGCAAGGGCTTGGACAATCAGAATCAAATGTTAGGAGAAAGGAATATATTAAGTGGTCAAAACGAGTTGTGGTGAACTCGGGGAATCACTTCATGTAACCCTGAGTCCTGAAGTTTGGACATAAAAAATGCAGGATCAAGATGAGATTCACAAACGAGCCCATCACAGATGTCTAATAGGGTAAACGAACGATGTTCAAAGAATTAATAGTGGACTTGAAATCAGCTAAAACAACTATTGTAAACTGTCCGTGCGTGACTATAGTCATCCCACAAGCTTCGTCTTCTGATATTCTTATTTGGAATTATAAAGGAAAGTTCATATTTCAAATGAGGATAAATCAATTATCAGGATATAAAACTCAATTTAACGTAAGCTTATTGCGCCATAGTTGATTGCGGAGCATTAAGAATCCACGTACCACGTTAACGCTGCAAATTCGGTTGTAAAAAGTACCGTGAGAGCTGCAGCATGTAAACTGGGACAACGCGCAGCCCTCGAAAGCCTTATTCTATCGTTATAAAAGTACAGTGACGATGTACACCTGATTGGCCTAACAAATTTTTTAACATTAGCCAGGTAAAAACGTGACCAACTCTAACTACCGTTGCAAATGTCATTCTTATTAATAGGAGCAGTCGGGGGAAGACATTGAGATATTATGTTAAGAAGCAATGCCTCCATGCTACCCGCATGCAGCCCACTCTTACAAGTCATGATCGTCGTAATCGAATCGAACTGACCTTTTATTCACCCTGTAGCAAGTTGTAGAGCGTGCCGGAAAAAGATCTATTCTATACTGCGGTCTAAAGACAGAGAGTAATGATTTAATAGAAACTCACCGCTAAGTTCTCATTGACAAAAATGTTCCCTAGAGCTGATTTATCTCTCCTTCCCTCTTCAGACTTGTAATATAAATGATGACGAATGATTCCGTCATGGTGGATCCTTATGGCTGGAAATCTTGCCGGATAGCTGATGATACAGATCCCTGATCTGATCTAGCCTCTATAAATGCGCAGCTAATTATGCTGCTCTTCAATGTTTTACTACATCGAACGAAGGCTTAACATGGGCAGCCGACATCACTAAGGAACGTAAAAAGACTGACCGGACAGGGTGATTTTCTAAATGGTGCTGGAGCTCGATTACACAGATAAGAGGACCGGAATAGCATTGATGTCAGTGGTAATGTTGGATATGGCCTTTAAGTCTGACTCAGCTCATTCATCTAGCGCTTGTAATTTTATTCCCCAATGCAACTTAACAGACCTGGTTGTCCGCTTTTCATACGACGCCTCCCCGTAATCGTCATTATTGTAATCACATACGTCAAGACAGCAGGATTCATTGAACCTTGGTGAAAGGATAGCAGATTTGACTGGCTGAATTATGCGAAAAAATTAAGTAGCTTAAGACGAAAATGACATAGAGGAGATGAACGATTGGAGGAAAGTGTGAGGGAAGTGATCAGATGGAAACCAACGCAAACGAAGACAGTAGGCGGGAAAGTAGACGCAGAGTGGACTGGAAACGGAAAACTCTGACAAAAGAGAATTCGATATATAGAGGCAATTCACGTATAAAATGCAAAAGGGCAATTTGCGCATGATTACACTGCAAGCCAAATGCTGCATAGATGTTGTACCTCACAATGAGGCTGTTTTAGAGTGCGATGTAATTAGCGTAAGAAAAACAAAACGCAATAAACTTTGAGCTACGCACGCTCCAATGGTGAGAAATTCCAATTGCCTAACAGAACGACCAGTGAATATCAATAGGAGACGACGGTCCGATCTGTGTCGATGCCGCAAAAAGTACTTTTTACCAACCAGCATAGGGTATGCAGGCGATAGGAGTAAGATCAGAAAATAACGCTTCTCTTAAGTTGCGATGGTCAAAAGAAGAGGAAGTATGGCGCATTTTGCGAAAGAATCTACGCGTTCCTCAGGCAACAAGGAACGGAGAACCAGTGAGCGAGGTGTATCATGAGCTTCGGTTTTCTCCAATAGTCAGCATATTCACTAGGTGGCCAAGTCCCGTGACTCAGTACATATCACTCATGATAGCGTTAACCAATCGTAAAGAAATACATTGAGCGAATGGTCCAACGAGTGGTTAATTGATATAGACGAAAAACTCGTTTCACTAGGGTCCAAAAGGGAAAGTATCTAGATTTTTAGTATAGAGCATTGCAAAACATGGTACGTGCGAACACAACCGGTGGGCACGAGATAGATGTATAAGGAAATTACAGGAGAGCATTGAATTCAGGAAGGCAGACAGAGAGAAACCCCACGTTTAACTAACCTGCCACACAGTGACTTCGGCCAGCGCCGGTTCAGCGATGAACATGTAGTGGATGTAGCTGCAGATGATATTTCGAATTTCTCTGAGAACACTTATCTCGGAATTGTAGCCCTGTGAAACAAGTGCAAAACAGTAGATGGAAGTATCCGCTCGGGAGGGGGGATGACCTAATCCACAATGACAAAAAACAGAGCTGGTCCGGGTATAGCTCGACAATGAACAGGGCCAAATAAAGTGTATTTAAATAAAAATGTCACACGATAAGTTATGGGAAGGCTACTAAGAACTGGAGTCAGGTTTAGTCCCGTTGTGAAGCACCATAGCTCCTAGCGATGCGAAGTCCATGGTGACAGGGCGCATACAGTCCATTAGGGAGTAAGCAACTCAGCTCAGGTAACATTGGGAATCTGGAGCTGTGGAAGTGCCCAAATGTTAGCAAACACGAGTAAACATATTCAACAGAATACTTTGCAACCGAAGTCAGAGGATCAGAAGGCAAAAAGGTAATATGAGCATCATCCACGAAAGCTTGTTTACGACGGTGAAAATGCACTGAGTGACCTATGGCGCCAAGCCGTATAGAGGTCTGCCAAACGGCGCCGGGCGCGAAAGGACCGAAGCCAGGCCCGTTAGTGACTGAACCACTACCAATACTCGATACTCGTTGAGCAATGTGGACAGGAGACACTGTAAGACTTGGTTCCTTAGCCAAAAGATAGAACAAGAAACATGGTGTGTTCAAGGCACTTTTCATAGCAAAATCCTGTTCCAGTATGGTAATCAAACGATTAGCTTATACCGCCCTGAAAATCCTATATGGTAAACTGATTTAATCGATAAACAATCGCATATTTCGCAAGAAGCACTTGGGAGTGCCGATGAAAACGAATGTTCTCAGTAGGATGTATTTCTCGCGCATGTGTTTATGATGACAAACGATTCGATAAGTACTGCTTCATTGTTTTAAAACACGGATGGTTGCACATCCTTTGACCGCACCTTTATGCGATAAAAATTAGGGCTACTAAAATAGTCAGTCCACTGGGATCAGAGACCCGCTACTGGGTTGGCTGACCTCGTACCTGAATGGGTGTTTCTAATAGTCACTCTGATTGATCATTACTCCATGCCCAATTACTAGTTGTGTTATCCAAGAAAGCGTACTTGATCCTCCGCCCTTGCTACTCTATAATAACGGTGTCAGCATGTCCAATAAATATGGTAGCTCATTATCATTTACTGATGAGACTAGGATTGCTTATAAGTTTCGACGTTACCAAGTCCGGAACATACTATTGCTACTTCAAGATGTTGATGCACTTGATAAAAGATGACGCATGGCTGATGAGACCATCAGCTAACAAATCAAGCATCTTGTTCTAAGGATACTCAAGTGTCGGTCAAACTACATATTGAACGCATTTGTGTAAAAATGTCTTACTATGATCAAGCAAAAAGTAATCTCGTTTCATAGTGTAGGAAAAACAGCCATCGCATAAACGAAACAGCAGCAGTTGGCAAGATGAACCCTAACGTTTCGAGCTGATTATCAATCAAAAACCTTGACTTTGTGCCTAGTGAGCTAGAGAAACCCAATGCATCTAATCGACTTCGAGGTAACCGTTGATAGCAAGGACCGCTTTACGCACCAGACCTTCTGTGGTCGACCTGTGAGTTACGGCGTATTTGATAGCCGTTAATGAGCCCCTCAGTTTGTAGATGTTTTCCCGTACGTTAAACACACATAAGCGCTTTAACACTTCAAGTGTTGGCACTGTCTGATTCCATTTTCATATGGATAAGCAACAATTCCTCCATATGCGTGATAAAGAACTGAGATGAAGATTTGCTCTAGTTGAATTAAGTGGTCCTCGATTAGCCCTGCAAGTGTCGGTGAAAGGCGGGAGAGAAAGAGAGTATCCGCGGTGTAGCGCGGCTCAACATATACGATGGGAGGAAAAGCCCGCAGAGAAAAAACCGTGTAGCAAGGGAATAAGTGGATTCACTTCCTATCTAAGCTAAACGACGACTAGTATAAAAGTAATCTGAATGTTCAGTGCCAGTGCTTACTTAATTACCGCCCGGCTTGATCTGCAGGCGACTTATCCCAATCTCCCCTGCAAATCTTCGTCACTGCGATGAATGGTTAAACGACAGAACTTATCTATCTAACGACCAATAACAATGGGAGGGTGAAGTTTAGATATATCTTTCTAAGCTAACCGGTGCGGGCGTTATAGGATCTGAGAAGGTGAACGGTCGTGAGGGATGTGTGCACAGCTTTCGAAGATGTGGATTTTTTGAGCCATTGAACCTAATTAATTTTCAAATATTAAGATAAGATCGAGATTCAATTTCAGGAAAGGAAGATGAATAGGTTGAATTCACATAGCAGTGCGCACAATGGAAAACAGGTGAGTCGGTGACGGAACTGTAAGCCATCATTAGTATTAGGTAGTTTCGGAAAAATCAATACTCGCCTCAATGACTTCCGTTCGGTTTGCGCGCACGAAATAGCAGCTTAATCCGCTCACTGGAAAACGCTTCCTAGAATTTTAAGTAAAGCTGCGTAGCGCGGAGTCTCATTGTGTTAATCACTGCCTAGCGTGGGAATAGTATCGATTACTTGAATTTGGAAGTGGCCATAAGGTTGACTACAGGCCGGACGGTGAAAGCTTACAAGAAAATGCAGTGACGAAGCGCATCGAAGGCTGTGAGAAAGAATTCAAGAGGTTGGTGAAAAGGATACAAAAGGTCGTTCAGAGAATTTTGTGTTAGCTGCTTTACCGAAGAAAGGGCATGCAAGCAGTCAGAAGAAGCCTGTAGTAGGGATAAAATCTGCACTAAGCCAAAGGGAAGAAGCACGGTTATTCAGGACAAAAGTTACTGGTGAAAAAGCATTGCACCAAAGTTGGCATTGAGTTAGGTTAATTTACCTAGAGATGCGGATGGTTGCCTAATGGTATTTCGCGGGTAACTGATCGTGTGATAAGAGCAAAATGAGTGCGTGCAATCAGAATGAGCGCCACGGTTTAACTTCTGGAATTAGAATAATGGTGAGGAGTTTGCATTGCGATATACAATCTCAAATTGGATCACAACGTAGGATCGCTTACAAAGATATCCTTTCGGTGTTATTCGCCTCTCTGAAAGATCTTTTCAACGTGAATGCGGTTTCAGTGGTCAGAAGTGCCGAGGCCTAGTTCAGAGAGTAAATCGTTGTCCGAAGTAAGAAAGCATGCAGTAATGCAAGGATACAGTATAGGGTCCTAAAACCGCAAAATTCAAACCCCAACTGTGGGGTGCTCGGTGGGTAGGTGGTATAGTGATCCACTGTACTTAGAGTTAGAGTAACGGCCCGGTGATATACACCTAAAAATTCAAAACAAATGGGAAATTGTTGTTTAAGTATGGGGACTAATAGCATGGCTTGATTCCGCGAAAGTAATCAGGCCACCAGAGGGCATGAGTAGTGAAGTTAAGAAATATGGATCGCAGTTAAAGTAATGGAGACCATTTTTATGAATTCCACCTGCTCTATGCCAGTTAGCGAATGTAACCGGGAAAGCCGAGCAAGCGCGGTACCAGGAATGCGGGACACAGAAACACAGTTTCTCTCTATACTTGTTAGCTAACATGAGCTGCCCGAAGTTTGTTCTCGTAGCAGGAAGTAAAAACATGATAAACCGTGATTCGTTGATCGACGGATCACTATAGACAGTGGGGGAAAGTATGTAATCTACGAATTGATACCATGAATTTGCAAATGCGTGAGCCCGATTATTTGGGTGTTTGAAGTTTTCAATAGGGTGACCCAGTCGGACAAGATAATAGCCAATCTACCTTATGAATAGTAGCTATGCCAAGAAGCAGCGGAGTTGAAAAGCGAAAATAAATGAGACAAAGGGAGTAAAAAATTGCCAGGAAATCCGAAAGACCTTGAGATTCCATCAAAGTCATTACATATGCCACCAATGGAAAAGAAATGCAGCAACAGTATGCCGCAGGGACGCATCACTTCCACGCCACCACGATCAATCACGCGTGGGCGAGGGATAACGCGAGCTTGTCTGCATCTTTGGATTACAAAAAAGAAGCCTAATCGACCAGTTCAGGTAGGAATAAATGCGAACTACGGTGTCGAAAGGAAGCGAAAATCTTTGCTTATTTTAGTCTCGCAGAAAACCCAAAGAAATCCAAGCAATCGCGAGCGAAACTGTTTTTGACCGATATTGGGAGAACATACGAAGTCTCTTTTTGATGGAAAGAAAAGGCATGATAAACGCAAACTCGCGTTCTGTACTGTTTAGTCCCAGTAAGGAGATAAGTGGATTCGGGGAAACTGAGTCGGCCACAATAGTACATTCGTTATTGCAATTGAAAGTATCCGCTACGTGTGCATGAAAGTAATATGCAATCTCTCCGTTTGGACCATGATTTACCCTGAATTGCACCGCATGTGAATGGAAGAGATGTTAGACGATACCTACATCCGACATTGTACTATATGATCGGTTTCATTCTCGGAGATACTTCTCACGATGATCGAGTCTAGCCTGGACTGGACCTAGAGAACAAACAAATCACCGGACGACGCAAGTACAACTACATTAGCGAGTCCAACTTGTCACAATCGGTTGCATGTATGGACAACGGTGTGCAATATAGTGGGGCTAGTGGAGGAAGTAAGTCAGTCTGATGATCCTACAAAGTGGAACCGAAGCATGAGTATGATAACAACAACAGATGCTATAAAATGTTACGAATCAACATAGCCTAATTCGAGAAGTACAATTGCCAAATGGACAGCAGGCGACTAGGAGAGACAACAAGCAGGGTTGTTTCAGTTGAATGTAGACATACCGCCTCCTCCGAAGTAGGTAAACAATGTTCCAACAGTAGCTGCACGACCGTAGCATTTTGAGTGAGCAACATGTTCGCGCAATATCGTTCACAATCCTCATCGCTTATAGGCGTCGGACGAGGATTCGTCACCGTGCCTACAGTTGAGGTAATATTTGAGAAATTAACCAGTGGAGAGTCTAGCCTATTCTCCGATTGACCGTTAACGTCCAGAGGACTACCGGTAGGTGACGTATTCTGAGGCGTAGTGGAGGCATTTCTGAACGAAGACATGGAGGCCGGGGGGACCGAGCGCTCAAGCAAACGATGACTCCAATATGACCGGGAAGCAATTAAATTCGATTCCAGAATGCGTAAAAACATGCATAGCAGCGAAGGGCATCTGTAAAAGAAAAAAGCGAAACTAAAAGAAAGTGAATAAGGAATCCGATTGTGTGTAGTAGTGTAGAGTTGGAAATAGTGCAAGACAAATGGAAGAGTACTATTCTGAATGCCTACTACGGAAAGCCCAACCCGAAAAATACCTTGAAGCGAGGAGTCACTGAAGCGAATCACAGGAATCCAAAAGGGACTTTGTTCATGTGAACACACTGAGAATGAAGCAACATGAGTAACAGTTGATTCTAACAGTAATGGACAAACACGACTCAAGATGCGAGTAAAAAGATTGTAAATGTGTACAGTAAAAAGGAAAAAGTAAATGAGCTGACAAGAATCGCAACAAAGACCCTGGAGCCTGTGAACCATCGAGATGGTCCAAATGAGCGCCACACGCTTTAGATACTTCCAAGGTGGAATGAAGTTACCGAGATGGAGACGGGCCTGGGAGACAAAACCAAACACAGAGAAAATAAACAGAAGTGCGATTAAGGCGTTTTGGGTTACCTCAAAAAAGGTGAAAAAGGGAGGTAGGATCCAGTGAAAAGTCGAGGCAGAAGGTGCAGTTGATAAGATAGATGTGTGAATTAGGGCGACACAAAGTCGTCGATTAACATCAGACTGCTGGACAACTTTGGACTGGATATGTAATACGAATCGAGAACATGGACTAAACGAAACAACTGTGGATTATCGATATTTCCACAACAGCTGTGAAGCAGTGGATGGGTTCTCACGATTGTTGTGTTCCACGTAGATACTCTCAAGACAGTGAGTTTACGTTCAGGTAATAGCAGATGAGAGTTCGGAGTGGTAGTGTCTTTCTGGCATCCTGTTTGGTCAGTCATAGTGGTTTGATAAAGTGAATGAGATTTGCCAAGAATACACACTGCTATCAAGTCTGCCCAAATCCATCCGTGTAGTTAAATTTCATAGGATTAAACCTCTCATTGCCGTATAAGACACGTCTGATCTCAACGGTACATATGGAAAGAAAAATGAACTAACGATTGCTGATGAGGTGGTTTAGTATGTAGATGTTAGATCCACTTAGGTGGTCGACAGAACTTTATTCAGATGTTAGCTAGCTGCACAGGCAAAGTCAGGTCACACACAAACCAGTGCTTTCCGTGAGGAAATTGTTACATTGTATGTTATAAAGGATCTGTACAAGTCGAGCATGTTTGGTTCACCTACCGGAGTGGCTGCAGTCACAGAGCCCACAAGTAACGAAATAGCAACCATCACAAGGTTTATTGGATCTGAGCAGTGGGCACTATGGAAATGAACGACAACCAGCACTGCCTTCAGATAATAACAGAAGTAGACAACTAGTCGCGTCTTAACAACTGCCGTATGACAGAAGATCGACAAAGTGTCTGGAAGTGAAATAGTATGCCTCATGACCCATGATTTAATCATCGCTAACCTGAATCAAAGCAGAAGCACAATTGGCACTATTCTTGGTAGGACTGTACTGCCAGAGATAGCCGCAGTCAAAACCCGAAAGCAAGCCAACGTGGTTCTCGGCACACAGAATACCAAAAGACAAAGCAGAACGTGAGCGGTGTTTCTCACACACTGGTGGAAAATTCACCTGGAAATGTGGTGTCCAATGTGTATGTTGACTGCGATATGTGACCGCAGGCTGCATTGTGACCAAATATGAAAGGTGGCGAGAACACATCAGACACTGGGATTCTCTCCGAAGTAGACACTTTTAATATTCCGCCTCAGTAATGGCTCCGTCATTATGAAAACTTGAGATAAAAAGCTGCACATGTAAGCCGATGCACAGACGCCTTGGTTGAGTTGCGACATAGCGGGTAAATCGAGATATCAAAGAGAAGCCCCAACCCGTGGGATGGGGGCTGATCAATAATGAAGGTAGTGGCCACATGTTATGCATGATCACCCGTAGGGAGTTGAGAACTGGTGCGAAGCAGCGAGTAGAGGTTGCTCTGTGTAGCTGCATCAATCGTCGTTTTCGGACATGAACTCTTTATTTATCGTTTCGCTCTCTGTACTTTGCCTCTGCAAATTGTTGGTCGAGTAATATCTTGAATTTAGACACTGTGTTGGCTTCTACTATATGCTGAGGCAGGTCGTTCCATACATTCACAACTCTGCGTTCGAAACAGAGTTGATGGGCGACCCGCTTCAAATCCGGGACGATAAGTTTATACCGGTGTCCTCGCGTGCAGCTTTGTGTGCGCAGATGAAGTTGTCTCAACATGGGGTAATCACCCAGATGTAATATCCGGTGCGTCATGATGAGGTCAACTCTCAGCCGACGATAAGATAGGGTGTATAACCCTAGTTTCTTACATCGGTCTTCGTATGACATACCTCGTAAGTTGGGAACCAGCCTGGTGGCTACATGCTGCACCCGCTCAAGCTTTTCTACTTCGCCCCGGGTGATGGGACAGTATGCGGGAGTGCCGTACTCCAGCATTGGTCGTATTATCGAGACAAAGAGGCGAGTGGCAATCTCTTCGGACCAAGTGCTAAAGCTGCGCCTGAGAGCCCAAAGCATACGAAGGCTGTTTTGGTACAGCCTATTCGTGTTGTCAATGGATTTTAGGTCGCAGCGTGAGAGTACACCGAGGTCGCGCACGAAAGGAGCGGGATGCAACGGTTGACCAGCCACTGTGTACGTTCGGCTGTGCTCACACTTACCCAACCTCATGAATTGCGACTTGGCAGGGTTGATCGGAAGGTTAACCTCTGCAAACCATGTCGAGAGGCGGTCGAGATCCTGCTGAAGTAAATCGCAATCATTGAGTATGCGGATTACTCTCCACACTTTCAAGTCATCTGCGAACAAAGCACAGTGTGATTGTAGTAGCTGAGGCACATCGTTTATATGGATTAGAAACAATATCGGGCCCAGTACAGTGCCTTGGGGCACGCCGCTGCTCGATGGATACCAGTCCATTAGATCGTTATCCACCTGGACTCTCCACTTTCGATCAATAAGGAAATTGCTGATCCATTTGTGCAGCGAACCACCAACACCGCACATCCTCAGTCTGTCAAGGAGCACTGCATGGTTAACCTTGTCAAAAGCCTTACTGAAGTCAATGTAAATGACGTCAACCGATTGGCCTTTGTTCAGCGCTTGTAACCATTCGTGCCTCGTCAACAGTAGGTTGGTGATGCACGAACGACCTTTCAGGAAACCATGCTGTGCGGTTAACAGGTTTTTCGACTCGAGAAATTGCAGAAGGCTCTTCTTCACGATCTTCTCGAGCGTCTTTGCCAAAACTGCCGTCAGGCAGATCGGCCGGTAGTTATCCACTTTGCTTGAGTTTCCACCTTTCGGGATAGGCTTTACGACTGAGCATTTCCAGTCGTCCGGTAGTAGACCAGTGGATAGTGACCTGTTAAACAGTTCAGTTACAGAAGGTGCAATTATGGTCGATAATGACTTGAGGATTGGTGGGTGTATACCATCTGGCCCAGCAGGTTTCGTCCCGTCAAGATTTGCTAGAATCTTGCGTACATCCTCAATATTGCAGTCCAGGCTGTTAAGTTCGGCTGGAGCGGTGCTCGTCGAACTCATTACAGACACCTGGTCACTTGCGAATACAGAGGCGAAGTGCGTTGCCAATGCTGACGCGCGATCTGTACTTGAGGTTAGAGGCTGTCCTTCTGAGCCTTCTAACACTGGGATATTAGCTATGGGCCTTAGGCGCCGCTTCACATATGCGAAGATCCTCTTGGGAGCAGTTTTTGCGGCAGTCGCGAGCTCCTCTTCGAAGCTTCTGCGTTTGCTTGTTTTCGCCTTGTTGCAGCGATTTCGCTGGACCTTGTAGGCATTGTAGTCCTCATCAGAGCCAGATAACACGAATTTGTTCCATAGTCTACGTCGTCGTCGGGCCATTTTGTTGTACTCTTTGTCAAACCAGTGTGGTTTGACTGGCCCAATTTTCCGAAATTTGAGGGGCACAAATCGGGCGCACAACGATTTCACTCCCTCTTTAATGATAGCCCAACAGGTTTCAATAGATGAATCCTGTGGTAAAGACCAGTCTATCTGACTCGCTGCTCGAATGAGGCCATTAAAGTCCGCCTTCCAATAGTTGAAGGTTGACTCTAGTGGGAGAGGATACGGTAGCGGTAGTTCTAAACTGCCTATGATCACTGAGTGGTCACTCGCTCCCAGAGGCTCTAAAACTTGAATGTTATGTACACGCTGCTCACAGATAGTCAACAGCAGGTCTAAGCATGATGGAGTTGCGCGCGCTGTAATGCGTGTCGGTTGGTTGATGTGCTGTGTGGCCGCGGTTTCAAATATCAACTCCGTAAACTTCCTCTCGACTTCACAGTGGCCGGGGAGAAGTTCAGCTTCAGGCCACTGTATTCGGGGCAAGTTGAAATCGCCCATGAGTAGGAACATCGGACGACTCATGTGGTTGCGGACATGCGGCAACCAGTCCAAACTGCGGCTCAGTGGGCTGCGATATACCACGCCCACGTGCAACTCGCAGCGTCTGTGGTGTATCGAACACCATAACTGCTCACATAGACCATCAGCGCTTTGATAGGCGTTCACTAGTCTCCCACACAAGGAAGACTTTATGTAAAGTAGAACGCCACCGCGATCATTTGATGGTCTATCGCAGCGGAAGCATGAGTAGCCGGTGATTTCCAGTTCTTGGGCGTTTACGTCGGAGTTTAACCATGTCTCAGCAAGGCCTAATATGTCCGGTCGCTGAGAGCTTACGAAGTCGTACAGCACATCGCGTTTGTTCATCAAACTGCATACATTAGTAAAGGCTACGCGCAGACCGCGGTAGGACCCGCTGGGCGCGCCGGACCATGTGGTTTTGCATGAACTGCAAGATGAACATGTTCCTAACGCTTTTTGTTGGGACTTGGAGTAACCGCTGTGTGTCTGGATTACGACACGCAATCTCGACTGAGGCCACGGTTAGATTTGAAGCAAACCTCTGTTCCTAACGTGTTCCCTATATAGTCGTTTACGCCACTCGCATCTGT